TTATTCTCAAATTTTATGCTGTAATATCTGTAATGCCTTGCATCACACCTTTGTTTTGTACTTTGATTGATATGTGAGCTCAGTTCAATCTGTGCTTCTGTGTTTCAGGCCATTAGGTCTGGGTCATGGGGGTCGTATGTACTGTAAATATGCACCTTTATGCAGGGTTCACACATAATTTTTACAAAAGCCTGATTCAAGCAGTATGAATCCCGTAACGATAAATTCAAATGCAGAAATATGCAGACATACATTTTATACAGGCAACAGTCCTTGCCCTGTCTCCTTACAGATACCAGACATGTTTCCAATGATCTTCGTAATTTTTGTTTAGTTCATTCCTAATAATGACGACGTGCTCAGAATCAGGGAACCCAGCTTGCTGTTTTCTCGCAGCCCATCAAAATATATTTTGCGGAGAATACCGACACAATAAAATATTCATAACAAACCTGAATACATTATTTATTCATTTTAAGACGTTTGCTTTCATCATTTCCCCTCTCTCTCTGTGTCTCCTTGTGACACCTTTGATCCTTATGTGCCTGACAGTAAGGATGTAAATTTGTACACCTTAATGCACCTCGATTGGTGACTGATAGATTGCACAATGGGAGTAAATTAAAGCCTCATATCAAATTCAATTAATTGTTCCTCGTGTCTAGCATACGAATTGTTTATACATGGAAATAGACTCCTCCCTAAAAGAGGTGAGCTTGTGAGGTTCCCCTTCAGTGCCTCCAATCAGTCTCAGACATGGTCATAAAATTGACAAATAGTTGGAATGCCTTCAGAATGTTCCCCTGTGGTCTGGTCTCTGGTTTACACAATGGCTCTATTTTGACTTCTGTATTTGCCCTGGATAGAGACAGTTACCTGACAGCACTGGACATCCCATGGAAACACATCAGGTATCCATTCATATCAGAGCTGTTTAAGTTTACCTAAACCATAATTAAGTAGCTCTCCTATAGTCCTCTCTAAACCTGAATATTACCCACACTTTTCATGGTTAAACTATCACACTGTATATGTGCATCAAGATCAACACAGCAATTACTGGCATGTGTGATCTCAAATAATAACTGCAATTTTGTATACAATATGCATGGAAAATAGAGGATAAATAATGACAACCATCAATTTTATTTGAAATCATTGTTTTGCCTCTTTGCAATGTAATAATGGCAGTACAGATGGCTTCCTATTTTGTCATTATGACTCATCCTTTCAGTACCTCAGCGATGAAAGGCAACACATTTTATATCTTTGGGCAAAAAAAAAAAAAACAGTTCAGAGAATGTTTTGTTTTCTTAAAGCTCCCATTTTGTAATCATTTTCAGGATAGCAAACTGTTTTCGTATTTGCCTGTTATTATTGCTATTATCATTATTGCTTTGTTTTATGTCTTGTTTATTGAAAATAATATGTTAATGTTAATCTATGTGAAAATGAAGTGGTATTTGTATATATTACATTGGTAATAATGAATGAACCTATGAAAAACACTGTTTTGCATTCATTTTCAAGTCCTTATATCAAAACACAATTCGTTTTATTACCAGAAGGTCCCATTGCAGTTTTGTTGGTGTTAATGCAGCGAGTATTCCTAAACAGTTCTGTTCACTTCTCTTTCTGAAGTTCTTAAAAGTTACCTGTACTTTACTCTATTGGATCTAGTGTACAGAATAATGAACCCCTGGTCAGGGCTAATTGACTGAAAGATGGGAAGGAGAATTTTAGACTGAAATCTTATTGGATTATCAATTAGTCAATTAGTCCTTCCTGAATTCATTCGTACTCATATTGAAAAGAACTATCCTACCTCCATGGAAACGGACAGTGTTTTGGATGGAAGATCAAAGTAAAACAAAGTACTGAGAACATACAGTATTCACATTTTCTAGTAACATTGGTGAAAGAGAAACTCATTTGGTGAACTAATTAATTAATTAGTAATGTACAATTACTAAATAATAGTTAATAAATGTAGTCACTAACCTTCTAACCTAATCCAAGAATCACAATATTTACATGGCATAACTTGACTATTTTCCATTACTTTTGGATAGACTCAGTGCCAATTGTGCACAAGACAAAAGATTTATCAACGGTATGATTTTTACTTTTGTATATATTGTGTAAGACAACAGAACAATGCAAGATAACCTCAGTAAGGCAAATGGAGACACACATCTCCCACAGTACATGGCCTAAGAGATGCCTTAGTATTTTCCCAACAAAACAGATAGTATACTGAACATTGAGAGCCCCTTCATTGCATAGACTTATATTTTATCTTATGAGTTTTTAAGTACTGAGTAGGCTGTTGTCACTATTGAAGATACAATCAATGAAAAAAAACATTATTAGAAAATAGACGTGAGGTAGCTACTGTAGCTAGTTTACCTAGTCAAAATTAGGTAGCTAACTAGCTAGCTGTACTGTAACTCATGCCAAATGAATAAGAAAATAAGAAATAAGAAAAAAATAAGAACAAAAAACAAAGGCCTGTGTAACATTAGTGCATTTCATTTTGTAATATCACCTAGCAATCGATTAAAGAAACCACAGCAGATAATTAGCATTGACAATAATTTATAATGGCCTTTAATTAATTTAATCAGAAACCTGTTAAATTCCATAAGATTTCATGTTTTAACCTCAATTCCATTTTTTTTGTTTAGATTGCACAATTCCATCTGTGTTTTGCGCATTGCAGAAATTCTCTAAATGTCTATATTACTCCATTAAAACAGGTACAAGAAACAATTCAACATGAACACACACAGACAGACACACACACATCTACGGGGATGTAAACAGTGGTGCAATTTCCACACAGTGAAAGCATGTTTTGCAGTGACTGCCTTGGTGAATGGTTCTCATGAGGGGAGAGTAATGCTTTGAGAGGGATATTGTGTGCACATGCGCTGTTTCTACAGAAAACAGTTCTTTGTTTTAAGTGTATTCCTGGTTAAAGCCCGAATTTCTTCTACATATATTGATTATCTTATTGTCTTTTTTCCTGTAACTGTAACAAAATACAGTTAGTTTTTTTTTTATTTGTATTCTGAATACGTAATGCTGTTACACATATTCCTTTACTCCCCAGCCTGGTGACATCAACATCATATTTGTTTTCTGATTTTATTTTTCATATGATCTTTTCTTTTACTTGCATGTACTCTTTATGAAAGATTGGTGTAGGAGGTCAGGACAAAGAAAATGCATTTACCAGAATGGTGGAGACGACCAGTGACCTGTTGGATAAGGAATCGGTGACGTTGGTTGACTTGCCCTTCTGGTTCTCAGTCATGTTCAGGCCACTCGGTGGGTCCCACGTTCCAATCTGTGGGAAGGCATACAGTATAGTGCTTACATAAACAGCGCAAATCCAAGCACCGGGCATACAAAATACAAGAATGGTCTGCCTTTCTTCACATGGACCATAGGATGCATCTGAACATGGCGGACGGGGGGAATGAAGTTCCGTACACTTGTATGTTTGCTTTGAAAACTGTAATATAATCTGTGTTTTAAAAGAACATGGATGTAATTCGGACCTTTATCAATAAAGTTTTAATGGTCTACAATATAGACTCTGCATCATTCAGTTATTTGTAGGTAATTTTTTTGTAATTGTTCGTCACTGCAATCTTAATGTTGCTCCAAATGTTACCCCCCCCCCCGCCCCCACCCGGTTCTGCAGTCCATGTTCCTATATCATAATGAAATGCTGCACAATGTCGATCCATCGGCACAATGGTGACTGGGTTTGTCCATGCTGGTAATAATAGTGATGAAGAATCTGGGGGTGTCATGGTTTCATACCAAGAACGAACAGCAATACCCCCGCCACCCCCTCCATATTAAGGGAGGCAGCAGAGCCCTCAGCTACATGCTTTTATCCAAACTGTCACGCATGACAAATGTGCTGAAGTCACAACACCCTCTACAGCCACGAGCACAGAGAACACTCATACTGAATTATATGGTATATTAGTAAATATTTAAACAGCTGTCCTGGAAGCATAAACTAAATTTTACATTTTAATTTAACTTCTGTGGCACTGTCTAAATAGGTGAGGCTTCATTCCTCTACCATTGGTCACATTTTACTCTCTTTTTATAGGTCTTCCTTTATTAAGAACATCTACCTCTGATACGTATAACCTAGAAAAGCTTTGGTGTCTGAATTCTGTGTTGGTTTAGCACACACACACACACACACACACACACACACACGCGTGCGGGCGCATGCACTAACAATCTCCCACAGCGAAAGACCCAGAAGTGAGCTGAGGAGTGCTGGTGAACATCGCTGGCTACCTCCCAGGGCAGGGGGATGACGGCTATGAGAAGCCCACCCTGGCTGACCTGAGAAGAGACCTTTGGCTCTCAGGATCCTCTTGTACAGAGTCAACAGCCCTGGGACTCTGAGCAGCCTTGCTGCTGCCTTGCAGATCATTTTCAAAGCAATAAACTCAACTGCCAAACAAAGCACTTCAGATGCCTTCAGAAATGCTTAAACTGTAGTTTGTAATTGCAAATCAACTCTTTAATTCAGCCTCCTTGAACCTGGAGGGCTTCTAAAGGGGTTTTTATTAGAAGAGTAAATTATTCAGAGAAGTGTAGAGGCACGCACAGTCATGGGGGGTGGGGGTGTGGATGGGGGGGGGGGTCACAGACTGCAGAGGAGCAGGCAGCCCTCCATCTGGATGAGCCGATTCCCCCTGCGCCTCCCTGTCCGCATGCGTGTCTGCCAGTCTCCGCTCCTCGCTCTCAAACACACAGAGCACGGACAGCCGTCACCACGCTCCTGCGGTACCTTCTCAAGTCCCTCCTCTTTCAGGCTGATCACGTCCAAGTCAAAATCGGTCCTCAGGCCGTTGGTTTTGTTGAAAGTTATCCGTCCTGTCAAGCCTTCCCAGTGGGCCTTCGGGGGTGGAAAGGGCAAAAAAAAAAATCCATAACAAAGGAGCAAACGGACAGAAAAATAAATACATTGCTTGCAAAACAGAAATATTATATGATTATTCAATAAAAAAATCACTATTCACCTTCAAGAAACTGGACAGGTCCAAATATATTCAAGGTCACTCAGAGTGCGTTGATAACTGAGAAATTACTACACTGAACAGAAATAATGCATATGACTAATACCTAAGCATCGCTTAAGCAGATCTCTGATACGGACGTGATCAATGCACTGTACCTCTTGAACATGCGACCAGTTGTACTTCATGCAAGCACCCTAATATTTAAACGGCATCATTGTAGTTCACTGTCAGGGGGACTGGCCATTTAGCCAAAAGCTTGCATGCTGCAGTCCCACAAAATGGCTAACTGGGCCCCTTTGAGCAGGATGATCAAAAGTAACCTGATTCAGCACAAAGCCAGAGGCACAAACAGGGGCAGGCAGACGCTATTGGCGCAAGTTTAAATGAATGCATCTGCCAGATCTGCATTAAATGGGAAAGCAGGCACTGATCCTGCTCACATACCCAGAGCAGTACACTTAGCACAGCGTGATAGTTCAATCAGGAACCCGCACATACAGTGTCATTTGTCATGACTGCTTATACACACTTATGCGCTGTCACTCAAGAGCACTGCGATCTCATCCATGACACATGACCTAAGCCACCGTCCCATCAAGCATATTAAATCATCTCTGATGGATCCTGACATTCAGATGCTAGATAAAGGGAATCCAGGCAGCAAGTTTCAGTTTGTCTTTACAACAGTGGCAATTTATACCGGATAAAGGTATAAAGAATAAGATCTGCATTACATAGCTATTAAAAAATGGTGATCAGTGATTGTAATCACATTTCCTTGCACTTTTACCCCTGACCTTTGACACTACAGCAATGCCAAGTTTAGAGAGATTAAGTTAAGCTTTTATTCTAGATCAGTGCCTCTGTGGGTTAGCAGTCTGGGCCCGTGGCCGGAAGGTCACTGGATTGAATCCCACGGTCAGCAGAGTAATCATATTGGGCCCTTGTGCAAGGCTCTCAACCCCCAAAACTGCTCTGGGGCATCAGAAATGTGGCTGACCTTGTCTTTGGACCACGTACCTCACTCTCATAGGAGAAGAACACATTAAATGGAAGAAAAGAATTCCTATGAACCTGCATGCGTACAAATGGCATATAAAGCATCATTATGCTGTCACAACAGGATGAAAAGGTATACAGAAATGGCTTAGCAATATGCCTAGATGTGCTGTAATGACAACTTGCCTTTGATTACAGAAACTGCAATTCCTGTGTTAACTCAGAGGGTTACAGATACACAGCACAGGCCGGAGTTTAAATGTACATCGGAGTCTGAGGTTTATCTAGGACTCTGCCACACCTCAGGAGATTCCTGCTTACAGTGCGGGGGGCAGCCGGTAACTACTTTTGTGTGCGACAGCACAGAACCTGACTCCACTTGTCGGGCGTAGAGTTCAGCGCTACTAGAAGAATCGGTACAAAGGAACTGAGAAAACTTTCTACCGCCGGGAGAAATGGCAGCGAAAATAAGAGATTGGAGATTACTTCTGCGCTGGTTCAATGCTGAGAACCATTGTGCTTTAATGTGTCACACACTATCCTGGCCCCCCCCCCCCCCCCCCCCCCCCCCCCGCACCAACATCACTCTGTGGCTCAGGTCTTAGCGACAATCTCCTGATATACTGGAGAGCAAACACTGAGGAGGTTTATCATGCCTAAATATAGGCTGCACAGTCCCGCGCTTAAGTGATGGGGAGGCTTGGATTAGCTGTCCCACTTTCCAGAATCTGGCACGCTGAACAATAATTACTGAAGATTAAGATAAATTAGAAGTTCTCTGTGAGACTAATTTCAAATATACAATATCCTGGACTGGGAAACAGAAAGCCCTGGAGGAATTATATTTGCACACATGCTAACAAGCACACATGCACAGGCGTACACACAAAGATCCTTTATGAAATTTGTAAAATAGGCTTTTAGAAATTAAAACTTAGCATTAGAGCTATTATACAGAAGAAAGGCAAGAGATAATGTCTCCTTTTCTAGTCAAACTGAACAGTTTTATTTGTATGGACATAAAAATTACTGCAGTACCACTTTACTGTTATTTTTAATTAAAAAAAAAACAATCAAAAGTTATTAATGATCAAGGAAACTATTAATAAACATTCATGTCAACTCACGTTCTTGTTTTCATTGCATGTGCGTCCACATGCGTGTAGAGATACATGCATGCTTCTGAGTGGATGTACCCGTCAGTGCGTGCGTGTGTGTGCAGCCAGAAAGAGTCGTCCCCGTACCTCCTTGATCAGCGCCATGAAGCGATTGCCGAAACGCCAAGGCTTGTGGCGGTTGCACTGCAGGGAGCTGACCGTGATCTGCTGGGACTGCTGGACTGCCACGGCGACAACGTGGACGGCGTCATACATGAGCGCCGCATCTGTCTGCAACCACAGAAAGCGTCCCATTAGTCTCCTTACAATAATAAGTATCACAATGTGTTAGTCTGTAGACCACCACTGCCTGCAAACACAGAAAGTGTCTCATTAGTCCCTTTACAGTTACAAGTATCGCAATGTGTTAGTCTGTAGACTACCACCCTACCTGTAACCATAGAAATTATCCAATCAGTCCCATTATAATTCAAACAATCGTAATATGTCCTATTGGTCTGTAGACTACCACCCTGCCTGTAACCGCAGTCCCAATATAGTTAAAACCATCTCAATGTGTTGCATTAGTCTGTAGATCACTCACCTGTCTATGACCATAAAAGTTAGTAGTCCTGCTACACCTAAAACCATCATCATGTGTTTCATTAGTCTGTAGACCACCATGCAATCGTTCCAAAAGCGGTGGCAGCTTTAGGTTTCAGAATTCTGTGCCGTTTGTTCATTTTACAAATGTGTCGCTTTAAGAAATAAGGAAAAAATAGAAGCCCTATTTTGTACAATGATCCCTATATTTAAAATCTTAGAAAACATTAATAATGTTTTGTTTCAGTACAACCCAGTTAAAAATCTGTCATGTGGAAACGTTTTTTGGCACATTTGACACTTGTCTAGCAGATTACTCATCAGCACTTATTTTTTACGGAATACTATATTTTTTCACCATTCTTAGCAAAAAGTGCATCTGTATATCCATACAACGCCATATCTGATCAAGTTCCAATCCTTAAATACATTATATAAATTTGCATAGTGATTAGTACTGTCCTTAGAGTCATCCTATACATAAAAGTGTGCAGGGATTTTTGCATACGGAAAACAGACTGGATGTCCAGCAGCATAGACCGGAAAAGGCCTTTCTTATGCCCAGGCTATAGCACCTGAAAGCTGCCTGCGCAGAAGCAAAGCAATTAAAAGGGAAATGGAGTGACTCACCCCACTGGACTGAAGTACTGGATTAAAGTTTCCCTAATTTTGCCCTGTGATTCAATAATAAGAAGAGGGAATGCGAGGACTGTCTCGGACCCTTTTCAGATTTCCTCGAAGGAGAGCGCAATCATACACTCCATCCTGAGATCCTCCGTCAAAATCAATTCTTAAAAAGGTCCTTTACTAGCAGAAGAGAAGCCCTTCATTGTAATAAAAGCCATTAATAACCCCTGCCAATCCCACCTAAGGCTCATTAACCTACGGACGGTGGAGAGGTCCCCCGTACTCCTTAGTGACACACACAGCCCCTCCATCAAGGCTCCGGTCTAGGTTTACCCCGGAGGGTCCCGTCATCGGCTGACAATAGCCCCCAGAGGGTCTCTCTGACAGTGTGAGAGCCTAATTCTGTTTTTCTGAATGTTTATGCAAATGTATGGGTGTCTGTGTCCATGCCTGTTTTCGTGTGGGTAAATACAATGGTACTTGTTTCTGCTGGTGCACATACAGCACATCGGCATGCCTGTGAGAGTGTTTGTCTTTCCGGTGCCTTCCTCTCCGAGTGTGGAGGTGCACGTCTGCCCAACCAGCCAATCGCTCGCCACAGTTCATTGCACCAACCTTTTCCTCGACCACCACTTTTAGGCCCCTGTCTGACATCTGCGTCCGTCAGTCACCACAGTAAGACAATGTCGGGTGGCAGCTAATGGCCGAAGGGTCAGACTACGGGATGAAAGAGCCATCCTGTGCCGCGTTAGCCGTACAGTTTAATGAGCTATGATGGCTACTCTCGCTACCGAGAGGCACAATGCCGCACGTGGGAGGCAAACACAAATCAGCTACCCCATTCTGCTAAACTGCCCCAGGCATGAATCAGCCGTCATGTTATGGCTGCTCACGCAAGCGACAATCAGCGCCTTGCATTGCACAGAACTGTGAAACAGGCCAATCTGCCAGCCCGCTTCTCCGAGCTGCCGGAACTATGCAGTGCATTCCGTTAGAGGGCCAGTGGAGGCCACACAGGAGCACAGCACACAAAGACCACACAAGACCTCACTGGCGGCCAGCCCAGGCACTGCAGGCGCAGCTGCGTTCCAGTTTACCGCAGCGCTATTGTCTGAGAGGCCCTTATGCGTGCTTCTGGTAGCCAAAAGCCGATAGCAACAGCTCACTAAGCACTAAAAAAGGACCAACACAAGGCTCTCTGCAAAGCTGAAAGGCAGTAATGACTCCATTATCGGCCGGCACATTGTTCGAAAGCCGCGCTTGAGCATCAGGCAGTTCTGCACAATGGGGAAAGTTTCACAGTTCCCTCGTCCTGGATACACCCTTAGCACACACCTCTCAGTGCTGGGTCATACTTCTGAGAACTGCACGTAACGTACAAGTCCTGGATATACCCGACACTGGCGGACATAACCTTCCCCGTCTCTCCAAGCGCCATACAAGACTAATAGAGGTAGGACATCAAGAGAGAGCACTATTATAGCAAAGAATTTATTATAGCAGAACAAAATGAGCACAAGATACTTGCCTATATATACTTACATAATATATATAGATGATATATGTGTGTATATACATATACAGTGTGTGTATGTATATATATATATATATATATACATATATATATACACAGATAACAAGGGAGGCCAGCATTCCCACTTTTATGGCCCAAAGATTTAGGGACCCACGGACAGCAGAGTGGACCTCAAGGATAGGGGTCCCTCGACTTCACACGCATCCTGCCGCACCTACCACGGATTCACCCAACACCCTAAAGAAATGAGGTTCTTTTAAGTTCAGCTTTTGCATACCCTGTATATTTCTTTGCTTATGATTGCTAGTCTCAATATACAGATATACAGGTTTTGTTTGTGTGTGTCCTTAGACAATCTTAGTGTTTTGTGTGCCACCCTTATAACCATATAATGTTCACGGAGTATCACCTATTTTACCCCTCACACTTAAACACTTATATAAATCTGAATAAATAAATATGTATAGCTACCACTGCATATATGTTCTCATAGTTATACCAGAAGAATCTTGAGAATTAAATAGTGTAACCAGGTGTGTCCTAAATTTCAGAGGTTCTTCTTTCTTTGTTTAACAACCCCCTCCCCTTTATTTTTTCACATTCCTCTGTAGCCCTTATCTGATCTTTGTGGTCTGTTAGCAAGCTCTTTGTGCTCTACTATGCAGCATTAGAAGATTGAATTAATGTGCACGTTATCAATTCTGGAGAGCAGATCAATTGGGATAAGCCATACCAACCAAAATATGTTGTTCCCAGATGTGCAATTTAAATTGATATTGCCACAAACTAACGAGCACACCTAGTTAAGGGTAAGATGTGCCGTTTGAATGTGAATATGTAATGTAATGTCTGTCCCATTTACCCAAAGTGTAACATCTGTTGAGGTGCAACCCAAACACTTATACTATATACTGATGTGAGTCAGTAACATACATAATATAAGTAATTGTTAATTAATTAATACAGATGGTATGAGGTGTGAACTGCCAGGCTGGTATGGCATGTTTGGTGTCAAACTGATGGACATTCACTCCTGAACCCAAATCTGGTCAGTGGTTACAATGAAAGTGTATGTATCAAGAGATACAACCGGCTTAATGAAAATCATCAGTAAAGGGGGAATCAGTCTGGTCATAAATCCCAAAAGGACTGCCACAGACACCCCTCCGAAAGCCCGCCAAATGGATGGTCAGCCATTGGTTCATGTGTCGAATTCCTGGTCATCCCTATTCATGAACTTTAGACCATAAAACCTGGCACCTCAGAACAGCAGAAAAAACATCAGCCCAGGAGAAGAGAAGCCTGCAAGAAGCCCTCCTGAAGCCTGCTGGTGAAGGCCTGCTACCCAACAGAGAACTGCAACCAAGACAAAGCCTTTCACCTTAAAGCTTCACAAGGAGAGAGAATCCAAAGGCCTCCACTCCAACAACCGCTCCAAAGGCCGCACGTTCCTGAGTGCCATCATCCCATCAGCTCATCAGCCTCTGCAACCAACTGCCAAGACCCCCCCCCCACTCTGCAACCAAGTAAACCAACTTCCTCTTATTATAACAACCTAAGTTGTTCTGTTAACCTGTTATATGACTTTAGGGTCGTGTTTCCACAAACTGCTTGCTTTGCAGAACAGTATTTCACTTTTAAGGTTACCCATTTAAATCTGGTCATTGCATTTCCATAATTACCTCCTGTTGTTTCAATTCCGTTATTTTGTGTTTGTTGTTTATGTTAAGTGTAATGTCTGTCTTATGTTAGTTGTAGTGTTAGGAATAAATGCATGTCTTTTACACAACTCCAACCCCCGTTCATTGAGTGCTCATAATAGTCCCTGCCTCTGTGCGATCTGGCTACTAAGCTCTGAAACCTCAAACTCGCCTGAAATATCGCGAGAGTCTCTCTCCACGGCTGTGAGAGGATCTTAGCTACCGATCGTTTACATTACCTGGTGATGCAGCTCACTGGACGAGCCTTCTAACCCAGGTTACTAAGCGATACTGGTAATTAATGAATCCCATGTAAGTCTCACATTAACAGACTCACGGGGATACCGCAATTGAGTTTGGAGGAACTAACCATTCGGCATAACAATTAATTAATAATCATCATTAAATAATAATTCATTCAAATTTAATTAATTTCAAAACATATTGGTGGAGATATAAAAATTTACCTGAGCTAATAATTCCTATATATATATTTATTTACACACCAGTTAGGCGGACTCACTTTGACTCCACAATGCTGTAGTGTCACTCCATAAACACCTCATTAAAATCAATTATGTCACCACCAAACAGAATTAAATCTAAATGCCTCAAAAGCCACATGTCCCTCATGTCGGCTAATATAAATATTTCCCTGATACTTTTCTGTTCGCACTCCCAGTGCCTCGTTTTTCACACAGCTGTGTTCTCAGAGAGACCTTTAGCCAATCTCCTAACCTTAGGCTGATTCAGTCGTTCATGCATTGTTGTGCACGTGCGCGCCCGTGGCTACAGTACCTCCGGTCCTGCCTGCCTGCTTAGGCCGC